GTTTAAAATATCTAAAATATTATAAGGGTTAATAATTGTTAAAAAAATATTAGTATTTAGATGAGTGAAAATTATTTTTTTAAAACAATTAACTTGTTTTAAGAAAAAAAATTATGTGACAATTGTTTTTTAGAAAAAAAATATGTTAGAATAAATAGATAAGAGATGAGATTTTTAAAATTTATAGCGATCTATATAATAGGATAAGTGTGAACAAAAGGGTGAACAAATTAAAGATGGGATAAGATTTTTTTATCCCAATAAATCGGCCAATTTATTTCCCTATTCATAAATGTCTAACAATATCTATTTTTTAGGAAAGAGAACGGATTGTTAAGAAATTGTAATTCATCAAAATTGATTTTTCAATAACGTATAAAAAACAGATGAATGGATTGTTAAGAAATTGTAATTCATCAAAATTGATTTTTTGATGTGGTTTTTATTAAGAATTTCGATCTCCAAAATTGTTAAGAGGCAATATTATTTTACCTTGTTTAAATTAGATTTGATGAGTATTTTTTAGTTACGTGACTTAATTTGGATATGTATGGATTCTCTTTTGAAAAATTCAAATTAAGTGGAATTGTTATAAATAAGTATGGACTATTGTATTTAAATAAAGAAAAAAAAGTCAAAGTCTGATTTGTTTTAAATAAATGTTCGAATTAAAAATGTAAAAAAATATCTTAAAATTCTATAAATGAATATAATTTATACGTGCGTTAATTGCAGATCACGGGTTTGATATTGAGATAAATAAATCCCAAACAAATCTCATCCAATAATTAAGGAAATGATATCTATCTATAAAGAAAAACTGTCCAATAAATCAGCTATTTCAAAACTGCCGTTCATTCTTATAATAAATCAGCTATTTTGGGGCAGTTTTGATTAGCAAAAAATAAGGAAATAAAAAACAGATTTTAGAGAGGTTTAATGAACGTATATAAAACAGATTTTTGAAAAATAATAAAACAACACGCATTTATTGTTTTGGCGCCAGTTTTTTGGCGGCAACTTAAAAAAGGTTATTCTTTTAATATAATTATAGATTAGAATATTTATTTAATTTATTTATCTTCTTCAACCAATTAAAATTCAACACATCACAAATGAAATCACAATTAACATTTATCATTATTTCTTCCGTTTGACGAAAGGAAGGATCCAAAAGAATCAATCTTTCTTTTAGTGGTTGAATCTCTCTTTGATTGATCAATGGTATATTTATGCATTTGTTCATGATCGTGGTTTAGGTAGATCTATTTTGTCGGAAAATCCAGGTTTTGACAAAAAATCTAGTTTACTGATTGTGAGGTCCGGACAGGCGGGATATGATTTGTCCTTCAGTTAGCCCTTCGCTTCGTCTCGTCAATATGTGATGTAATCACAATTAACATTTATCATTGGAGACATAATTTTTTAGCTTCCATTCTCCATGCCATACAACCCAAAATGGACAATCATCCATTTGGAGATGCTCTTAGTGACATCTTTAGTTTAGACTATTGAATATTTGAAAAAAATTACTACCTCCTATTCTTTTTAAATGTCATTTTAGCATTATCAACTATTAACAAAATAAATATCGTTTTGGATACTTTGTACATATTTTTCCATTATTACCATCATCTAGCTATTAAATACACTACATCTTTTCATATTCACTCTTTATCTTTTCTCAAAATATTCATCTCTATCCTCATTAATGAGGGTTATTATTGACCAAAAAAATATTCTTAATAAGTGTGCAACTTCCCAAAACGACACTTATTATGAATAGGAGGGAGTAAGACTTTATATGAAAACTTAAATCGACGGTAAGATACGAAGTGAGATTCTGTTTATAATTTTGAAATCTCGACAAACGTTGAAAGTTCTAACAAATCTCGATCTCAATAAGAGTTTAAAATTTTAAATGAATACCTCTAAACTTTAAAGAAGTCTTGAAAACTTAAATACAACATGATTCCGTTTCGGTCTAATTAGATCTACGAAGAAAAAATCTATAGCGGTTCAAGCACTTCAATCGGCCTTATGCAAGGAAGCGACCAAGCAAGCAAGGTTGTTCACAATCTTAGGTTAGTATAGCAGATCTAAGTGCTCAATGAATGATTTGTGGCATATTAGTTTTGCTATTTTCACTCATTTCAGATGACAACTCTTCAAGAGAGGAGACCATTAATGTAGTAACCAGAAATGAACAACAAAAAAACTGAAGGAAACCAAAATAAAAAGGGACACGGTACGGACTTCCCTCGTTAACATGATAGAGCCTGAAGAAAAAAATGAAACACGAAACACTGACAAACATATACTCTTTACATTTTATCGAAAAAAATGGGCAACATTTGATTGTATTTACTTAAGGTCGAACTCGTGTGATCGTTAGGCTACTGTTTGTGCCGTTCATATGCTTCTTTGTTCGGTTCTTCCCAACATGAAAATTTTACAGTTTTCTAATATGGTTCTTCCCAACAGCAGCTCTTCAGTTCACAACGAACAAAAGAAAAAACAGTTTACATCTCATTAATCAAACGCACTGTTTGTACAACAAGGAAGTAAAACAGCAAAGTCGTGCTCGACAACTCACACAAAATAAAACTTAAAAGTATTTGAAGATGCTTGAAGTGTATGCATTGATCGTCTTCTTGGTGGAAATTTAATCATCCCTAGAAATCCAGACATATACATGCTCACTGACAAAAATATATACTTACCCGTGAAGAATTATTCATTCCCAATACCGAAACAAAGCAGTGGACATATATAAGAACACAGCCCTCTCTTCTTCTTTATCGTCTGCTTCTCTAAATCCCTCCCAGAAACAAAATCAGCCATGTACTGTACAACAGCCTGCCAAATTACAAAAATTACATGTAATATAAAATATTTATGCTTGTTGATTTTCACAATTTTCTTCCAAAGTAACATACCTGTGCACCCAATTTTGTAATGTGCCTAGGTGGCACTTCCAGAGGAGCCCGGTCAGCACGGAAGTTTTTCAAATTCGACAAGAATCTGAAGGAATCGGGCAAAATCTTTATTTGGTTGTCACTGATGTCGAGGTCCTCGAGCATCTCAAGATTCCCAAGGGATTCCGGAAGCATCCTCAGGTCGGCAAAATTTTTCCCTAAGTTAAGTTTCTTCAGGCTCACATCAAGGCAAAGGGTTTCGGGCACACTCTCTAGTTCATTGAAGCTAACATCAAGCTCTCTCAAATTAGAAAGATTCCCCATTGTCAATGGAAGCCTTTTTACCCGGTTATAGTGCAAAGACAGAATCTCGAGTCGTTCGAGATTTCCTATTGATTCTGGAAGAGCTTTGAGTCGATTGAAATCTAATCTCAACTCCACAAGCGATAAGCACGATCCAATAGCGTGGGGAAGTTCTTCGAGATCATTCGTGTCCACATTCAGCCTCTGTAACGAAATTAAACTCCCAACTGTACTGGGCAGGCTCGAGAATCGGTTTGAACTTAAATCGAGATTAATCACTTTCGCTAAATTTTCAAAAGACTCGGGCAGTGATTTTAGTAGATTAGCTGAAAGATCCAGGTCGGTTAAATTTTCCAGCTCGCCAAATGAACTTGGAAGGTTTATGAGCTGGTTCCCACGGACATCAAGCTTCGTTAAGGTCTCGAGGCTGGCTATGGAATTTGGAAGGGCCATGATCCTGTTTTGAGCTAGATTTAATTCGGTTAAAGTCGATAGCTTTCCTAAGGATAAAGGAAGCCATTCAACCTTGTCGAGCAGTTTCCCTTGAAGATCTAAGATTCTTGCCTTTGTTTTGAAACAGCTTTCGATTACTGCAGCCACTTGTAACAGATCAAATTTTTCTGATTCTATTTCTCCTGCAAATTACAGTATGAAGCCAAAGTGGTGTAGGTAATTCTCGAATTTGTTGGCATCATATTTAAACGTCATCGTGTAAAATACGTAAACGAGAACCTGAATACTTTAGCTTAAAGTATTTTTCAGATTTTAGACTCAATTCAATTTGCATTATAGTACATAATGTTCTCATAATTTAAATTATTCCAGCTCCGGAATCTCGTTATGTGGGAAAATGTCAGATGATTGGGCACATAAATTTACTCCATTCATTTTGGAACAATGTAGCAATAACAAAAACCACTACTTTCTCGCAACCATTTAAGAGAAAATAAGGAAAAAAAGAGGAAACATAACATAAGATCACAATCAAGTTTCATGAGAGAACAAACTACAGAGCACCAAAGTTATCATTGCCATCAAGACAAGTCACCAATTCCCTTCGGTTGGTCTACCAATAGCAATCTAAGGAATCACCACAACAGTCAAAGCCCGATTTTAAAACCTGATCTGAGACTCCACGGCATGACCAAAACACTACATTCTTTCCTTTTTAATAGATCCATTCAGAACTATAATCGAGATTACGAAAATCAAGTTCTTTAATTTTCCAAAAGCAAATATATAACTAAAGTAATATAATATTTTGAATCCCACTTTAGAAGTCCCCTCTTATCAATCACACACAATAGAATACATACATGTTCAGCTACACTTGCCCACATGTCAAACTCAAAACCTGAAGAATGTTTAACTCCCACCTCATGAAAAGAACACAATTCAGCCAAAAAAACGACGATATTTAAATCCAAACCTGAAGACGAAGCAATAAATTTAGAACGATGTGCAAGGACAAAGTAAGTAGAATTCGAGGAAAACCGTAGGCAAACAAAATAAAACAAAAAGGAACCAAATATTATTCCTTAACTGAAAAACACCATATAATTGAAATTCATAACTTTTCTAACCAACTTAAAATAAAAAGGCAGGCATTAGTTGCTGCAACACGACTTGTTTATTCATTATTATTTTGCTATACTTAATAATCAGCCGCCTCTTCTAACCCCTAGACGCTCTAAGCAGCGGGGGAAGCATTTGTTTTGGCATCCTTCCCGGCCGTGACCTGTGCACCTCCAGAGGGAGTAGGAGGCTGGGGGAACGGCCAGTGGTGCCTCCAGCCGGCGGGAATGGGTGGGTGGGGCCACGGGAAAGGGCGGAACGGAATCGGCCGGCGGAAGTAAGGGAAGGGGCGGCGGGGAAGGAACGGGAAGGGGCGGGGATGGGGATGGAAGCCCCAAAACCAGTCGGGCTCTGCAGCTTCGGGATAGACCGTGCTCTCGTAGTCGTAGCTGACCTCCTCCTGCTCGAGGCTCACGGCATGGGAAAGGAGGCAAGAGAAGCCTAGAAAAAGGAGGAGGAATACAAGGGATGCTTTGGCCATGACTATTCTAATTCTAGTTTGTTTTATAGTAATTATTTTGTTGCCAATGTGGGGGGTTTATATAGGATTTGTAAGAGAGGAATTTTAAGAAACGTGAGCACCTATGTTTGATTTATTTGGATATATCATCAAGAAGAGTTTAGTCTGGTTTTGAATTGTTGGATTCATGCATGTCATTCTCATGTTGGACTCTTGATGCTATACCCACAGAAAATTGAGACCCATGCGAGTCAATCAGTTTTTTATTTTTTTTGGGTACAATGAAGGAGGCCGGAGGCCTAAAACGAGAACTAGGCTAAGACCCTACGCGGTCGTGCTCGAGCCACATGCCCATCCCTATGCCTATGTATGATAATAAGAGTACTACTATTCCGATTTCAATCTACACTTGTCCACATGTCAAACTCAAAACCTGAAGAATGTTTAACTCCCACCTCATGAAAAAAACACAATTCAGCCAAAAAAAAGCTACGATTTTTAAATCCAAACCTGAAGACGAAGCAATAAATTTAGAAGGAGCAAAACCCTTCACACCATCAACAACACTCTTGATGTCCTCCTGTTTAGCAGATTCCACAATCCTATCATCCTCACCGGCCGCAGCCTCTTCTCCACCGTCCCCATCAACCCCACCGGAATCCACCACTTTCTCACCGGAGACCAGCGACGAAGCCCTCTGAATCAGCCGGTCAAACACCTGAAAAATCCTGTCGAGCTCCACCACCTGGGCCGCCTCCTTCCGCTGCTCGTGGCCCTTCAAGGCGACCGCGGCCCCCCTGACCTCCTGGAGCACGGAGAACAGCTCCGGCGGCACGTCCGGCGGCGGCTGCAGCCCGGATATCTCATCGAGCTCGAGGCTCTGCTCGGTCTCGACGGTGCGGAGCACGGAGTTGGCAGCCTCGACCTCCTCGATAGAAGGCCTGATCGGCGGCAGCGATTTGTAGATTCTCGTGATTTCTGCCACCGTTGCGGCGCAGGCGGCGGGCGGCGCCGGAGGGTCTCCCGTTATCTTCGCCGGCGAAGCCATGATTGGGTAGAAAAAAAAAACAATTATCTATGCAGTGATGCAAGTGGCGTGTGAAGATGGTATGCAGCAAGAAAATGTCATCCAAAACGGTAGTGAAATCAGAGACGCAATCGATCAATCACAGAAGTAAAATGACCCCACTGCATTATCAGCACAAATATTATGTGTTATTCGGTAGCAGAAATCAGCAAATACGTAGAAATCTAGGTTCCGACAGCTGGGCTGAAGTTCATTTCAATTATTTGTGGTTGGATGGTCATAGCCTCATAGCCATAGGTAGGGATACAAACGGGTCCGTGCGGGTTTTTTGCACACTTGAATCGTATATATTTAACGGAATTTGAACCCGACCCGTTGTCCATTTATTAGTCTCGGAGTTCGGGCCGGGTTTTATTTCCGGTGGTCGTATCGAGTAAACAGGTAACTCTTTTATAGTCTAGTTACTAGTGCTATGTAAAAAATAAAAAAATAAAATGCATGACTATAAATTTTAATAAGAAAATATTTTGTAGATAATGCGTCACTCATGATTGGGGGCCAAATCAACTCGGAAGAGAGTCTAAAGTACGACCTCACAAAAGCTACTAACTGCGGCATATCTGAGCTCAAGAGTTCGTATGTTGATCACCGAGTTGAAGAACGACCCACCACACAGAAAAAGACAGCCCGCATCCAATGACTCGAGCTAGGCTCGCAAATCGGTCACCCGACTAACGAGCGTCGTGGTGAGAGAAGTCACAAGATTATATTCAATGGGGATTTCAACTCGAGTTGGGTGACAAGTCGAGCATAAGGCAACAAAATAAAGGTCACTTGCAGCCTAATGATTCAAAAGTATATTCTGCCAGTCAAATCCAATGACCTACCAATCTTAGGCCTACAAGGTAGTCCGTTAAAGGCTTGATGTATTACCCGATGAACTATTGTTGGGCTAGAGTTACTATAAATATATCTGTAATAGATCCAAAAAGGGGAATGAAAAATTACGTAACCCACGAGATACAGACTCTCGTAAGAAATATTAAGTAAAACATTAGTCTGAGCTATAATAGTATTGGCCGACCTAGGCCACTATTATACTATCAAAATCTGGCATTATTCTACACTTTTTTTCTTTATGATTCTTCCTAAAAAAAATGTTCATATCAACATTTATTAAGTATCCAAAAAGATACGATTCAAAACACTTTTAACTCAATGATCAAATTCGATTGTCAATAGGGAAGAAAAGAGGGAGGAAGGAATAAGTTGCACTGGGCTTGTTAGCATCTAATGAGGCTCTAATTGTGAAGCAAATTTGGAGAGTGTTAACCAAAACTAACCTTATGATGAGTAGAGTCTTGACGGTAGTTATTTTGCTAATCAAAATATCTTTGATATCAAAGTCATAAATTGAGACTCTTGGATGTAGACAAGCTAGTTAGCTGCTATGAAATCTATGGTGCTAGTAGCTAGATTTAAGATAAGGGATGGTAGGCCAATTGACATTCCTGACATAAGCCTCTTTAAATAAAGTGAGTGATATTCAGGGTAAGGAGGGTAGGGGTTGGAATATAGAGCTACTGTCACAATCTTTTGATTAAAAAAAAGTTAGTGATCTCATAATCTTTGTCTCTAATCAAGGGGCAATTGATAAGCTAGTGCGCTGGGGTAGATTAAGGGAGTTCACTGTTAAATCAACTTATGAGGCTATTCTGGTCAAATATGTAAGAGATACAGGTGCTCTCGGGAACTGCAGTAACCATCATCAAATCCTACACATGTGGAAAACAACATAAAAACTGCCCATTGCTAGCAAAATTAAAAAGATAAGCATATAGGCTTATTACGTCTACAATGGCTACAACATGTTTGATATTGCAAACTTTTAACCACCAAGTCCCAAACCCAACTGAATCTCTCTCCACTATATCCCATCTCACACCTAACAACTTCCAGCAAGTTGAAGCCCTAATGCAGTTAAAAAATATATGGTCAATGTCCTTCTCTATTTCTCCACAAATCTTATAGATGATATCTCCATCCATCCCTATTCTCCTCAAATGAAACTTAGTACTCGTTTGTTATGTTTTTGTCTTATTTTTATGTGTTTATTTGTGTTTTTTAGTCGGTTATAGGTTCGTTTTTGTGTTGGCCGGTCCATTTTATCGCATTTTGTGTGACTTTATGCTTTTTGTTTCATTTTTATATTTTGGCGTACTTTTCCGTGCTCGTTGTGTATTTTCAGGTTTTTCCCGAGGATTAAAGATGAGTCTAACCGAACCCCACGAGACGAGCATTTTCGAGTCATTCGTACGAACAACTTTCGGTCAAGTATATCGAGCCTTAGTCGAGATGGACGCGCGCAGCCCAAGCCGCGCACTCGCGGGCGCACACTTGCTCACGCGCACGCCAGCCGCACGAAGGAATTACCCCGCTCGCGAGCTCGCTTTCATTTCCGCGAGATCAAGAGCCCCGTGCCCAGCTCATACGCCCGCTCGCGAGCTCGCCCTCATTTCCGCGAGGTCGACAACTCCCTGCCCCAGCACACAGTGCGTCCGCGTCCTCGCACAATCCACAGCGAGATCGAGAGTGTCGTCCACTACTGCCTGCACCCGCACAAAACCGCGCCCGCGCCCTCGCGACAATACACGCGACCTTGAGACTGTCTCTGCGCCCTTGCGCCTGTGCCAACCACTGCCTGCGAGCTCGCGGAATCTGAGGAGACGTCGAGAGTGTCCCATTAAATCTGCGTGTTTTAGTGTGTGTTTTGGGTAGTAGTATAAATATTTTTGTTCCTTTGCATTCTTAGAGATAATTCTCTCATTTTTTATTTTTCCCACTTTGGGAAACTAGCTTATGTTTATTTTTGCTCTCTAGATTAGGAGCTTATGCTATTTTGCGGGAGATTTTCTGGCGACTTCAGTTTCGTTCAAGTTTCGAGCTTTTGACTTCGTTTTTCATCGTCTACGCAATGGGAGATTGAGTATTTAGTTTTAAAGCTCTTTACTTCGGTTTTTGCTCCAGTTTTACTTATAATGTTCATTAGAGTAAATTGGGTCTGATTAATAATGGTGGAAATGCTTGAACTTGATTGTTTGCTTGAGTAGATAGAGCCGTTAATTGCTTGTTGATCTCGGTTAGACAACTAGAGTTAGCAATCTAATGCTCATAGCTCGTTTATTCCGTATGTCGATTGATTATCATCCCGCTATGGTTATGGCATGAGACTCCAGTGATCTAGTTTGCGAATTGCTCGTCTTTTGATCTTGCTTCTAGTTGTTTGCTCATTTTTAAGTGCTCGTTTAGTGTTAATCAACCATCCAATCTATTGCTTAGAATGTTTAGGATTTTATTTTCCTCTTTTGTAATTTGGACAATCATTTAATAGACAAAGCTCCGAATAGCCTGCCTTCGAGATCGACCCGAGTCGGGTAGCTCGATTATCTCTTGCCCACCAAATCTATACTAAACAGTACTCATGACTATGAACAATCATAAATAGTTGGGTATTTGAAAACTGATGGGTGAATGACGAGAGGATAGTAAAATATGCTTTAGATGATTGGCTTGAGTTTAAGAGTGTTGTCGATGGAGGGGGGGGAGAAGACTG